TCCTTTTTTCCCTCATTTTTTTCTAAATCCCCTTTCTCCCTTCTTCATCATCTTCCTGTTTTTCTTTCTGAGATAGTATTTCATTTTGAAATCATGATCCTCTTATCTTGCCTCACAAATACTAGGACTGAAGACTCTTCCTCCATTTTTGTCCTCATTTGGAAGTCTCCTACCCATCACCCAAGTCTACCCCCTCCACCGCCTTGGCTTCATGTGGGTAGGTATTTCTCCTTCCTAACAACTAGCATTGTGGAAATCCTGCCTCTGCCTATGTGACATATTGTTACCATCTTGCTTTAGCTCTTGATCCTCTTGAGGATGGGTGGCAAGGCCACTGTTTTCTGCCACAGGCTTGTGTCCTGGCTGGACGTCTAGTAGAACATCGCCTCTTATGGCACTGGTCTTCCCAGGCTAATCAAAGGCTGAGGCATGATTTCAGAAAATGTTAAGCATGACCAAGTCAAAGACCTGATGATTGTCACCAAATAAAAAAGCATCAGGTTGGAAACAAGAAGTCTGAAAACAAATCCTGTTACTATCTAACTAAGGTTTGACATTTTAAGCCAAATGGCGAGGTTCTCTCTGTGACAAGAACCTCGGGGAAGGGAGGAGGGCAGACCCTTTTTCTTCCCCTGTTCCCCGAGCATCCTGTGTTCTATGTGTGCATTTTTTGTTTCAATCAAACTTTTGTCATGATAATTCTGCATTACCCATAGTTCCAAACCAGTGACTTTCAACAAACCAAAATCATTTCTCAAAGAAATCTACAGCCCTTTGGACTGTGGGTTGGCTTTGTCTGTACTGGGCTCTGCTAGGTTTGGCTGGAGGCAATGGGAGGTACCTCAAAATTACATGGCGAAGGGGAAAGCATGTTTAATTCTGTTTCATCCCATTCCATCAATATATTCTTAACAGAATTGGACTTTCTCTTTCATGGCAATATGTTAGTGTTGATGCTTTATCTTGGTGTACGGGACTCTTTAGTCCTTCCCTGTGGATTCTTTCCTCTGGATTCTTAAGGGTAACAACTGCATTTGGGGCTCATGGACTCTGACAGTTGCTCAGTGAATGAGATGCCACTGTTGGAATGAATTAGCTTCAAATCTGTTTAAAACTCATATCGGGAATAGAAATGTATCTTTGGGAGAACCCCTGAAAATAATATGAAATGCCTGTTTCTATTCTTTCAGAAATCCCTCTGCTATGTTCCCATTGTGAGTAGTGCGACCCTGTGGGAGAGAAACATATGTCATACAATCGTGAGTAAGCTCAGCAGTCTCATCCGCATCAAGTCCATAACATTCACCATGGGGGTTCAATTGTTTGATATATTTATATTTTTACAGTCTTTATAATAACTGGTAAAAGGTTTACTCTTTCAATTCTAAAATAAGGTGAATGTTGAAAACCATTTCCTAGAAGGACTTTGCATTCTCATTTGAAAACCAAATCCTCTTCCTCCTCCTCCTCATTATTATTTGGTACTCTTATCACCTTAGTCATACCAGTTATTTGGAGTCTTATGGCCTTTTGTTTTTCTTTTGCATGGAGTGGCTCTTAACTACAATTCTCTGGATCTCAGCCTTCTGAGTAGCTAGGAGGACAGTTATAAGTTACTGGTGCTGGGCTTCTTTATTCTTTACACATAGAGATGTATACTGAGGAAAAGCTGTAACTCTTATCTGATGAGTAAGAAGAGAAATGACAGAGTGCTGGCTACCTTTGCAATGTCTATATTTGATATAACACACAGAGACAAGGATAATGGTTTTGCCTTACTATTATCAACAACCACAAATGCTGCTTCCTGGAGAGAAAGACTGACCCGTCTGGCTTGTTCTTCCCATGGTACCTTCTATTCCTTGGTTACTAATGATCTTCTCTTGGTGAGAGCCAGGGTCACTGTTTGTCCCCTACAATGGGAATTCTCAGGCTAGAAATGACTGTGAGGTGCACATGGAGATGGTCACCATGGCTGGCTGGCTGGTCCAGCTGTCATGGAGCTGGGGTGGCCCCTCAGATTGTGTCCCACCCAAGGTTTGTTTACAGAAGCAGGATAGGGGAAAAAAAGCTTTCAGCCAATTCTGAAATTTATATCCTAATGAGTCTAATTGCCTTCATTTCCTACCCATTTACCCTGAAGGGCATTCCAAACATCTTCCAAGGAGGACTGCGGTGCCCAGAACTATCAATGAAATCAGGTCAGGGGGTGAATCCAAGATAGTTCTAGAACCTTCTTTTCCCTTGGAATTTTTTCACTAAGAATTACTGCTTGATGAAGGACAACATATGGTGACAGGAAATAGAATTCCGATAGAAATGGACAGATATGGAAACTCATATTTTAATATTAAAGAAAAATATAAGTGTAGGAAAGTTGAGACATGTAATCTAGCTGAAGGAAATGAAAAGGCATTATCTGGTTTCTTTTTGTGTGTGTGTGAGAGAGAGAGGAGAGGAAGAGGAGAGAGAGGAAGAGAGGGACAGGGAGAGGGAGAGGGAAAAGGAAAGGGAAAGGGAGAGAGGAGAGAAGAGAGGGGGAAAGAGGGAAAGAGAGGGAGGGAGAGAAGGAGGGAGGGAGAAAGAGAAAGAGAGTGAACTAGGGCTTGAACTCAGAGCCTTGCATTCTCACTTGGCTTTTTTGCTCAAGACTGGTGTTCTACCACTTGAACCACACCTCTACTTCTGGCTTTTTTGGTCGTTAGTTGGAGATGAATCTCATAGACTTTCCCACCTAGCTGGCTTTCAACCATAATCCTCAGATCTTGACCTTTGTACAATGACTTAAAAATAATACGAAGTTAAAAAATGCCACAATGAAAGATCATTTCATATTCAGTGGATGAAATGAATAAAAAATCCTTGATATCAACTGTGGACAAAGGTGTAGAGAAATAGGCTATCCACACACATAACCACCTGTAGGGTCATTCTGAAGAACATTTTCATGATCTAACTAACAGAGTTGAACATCATACACACACATGACTCAGCCATTTACACCAAGGTCTGAAAGTGAGCAGCTCTAAAGACTTTACAAAGACACATAGAAGACTACTTTCTGGTGCCTTGATTTTGTAATGGGAAATGAGACAGACATACATGTCCATCCACCTGAGAATACCTAAATACACTGGAGCATACTTATCTAATGGACTGTTGCAACTAGTTTAAAGGGGTGAATTTTGAAGCTCCACACTCTATGAAGGCTAAATCTTAGTAACTTAAGGTGGAATGAAAGCAATCATGTTATTACTACATGTTTGTTTTGATAGATATTATCATTTAAGGGCTAAGTTTATACACCTTTGCTTTTTTTCTTCTAGTTGGAAGTCATCTGAGACCTAGACATACCAGACAGACAGATGGTGGTAAAAATATATTCCAGGTCAAAGCTAGATTGAAGGACTTAGCAATGTTTCCAAAAATATAAACAGATCTTATCATACTTTTGCTCACAAACCTTCAACAGGCTTCAGTTTCACTCATAAGTCCAACGTCTTGTGCCCCTGTGAGCTCACACAAGGTGGTGGGCATCACCACCTCTTTTCTATCATTTCTCCCGTCTTCTGCTCAGCCTTTCGAGCATCCTTCCTACATGGGTTCTTTGCACTTACTGTTCTGTTTACCTGTAGTATATCTACCTAGAATATTTGCTGGATATTTTGCTCGGGTCTCAGTCCTACTTGCCCCAGGGATGGGGCTCTAAACAACTTATCTACTAGACTCTGTCTGAACAGCGGTGTCCAACTTTTAATTGCAAACTCCTAGCAATGAGAAAAAAATTGAATGACTGTTGACAAAAGGGGTGACGTTGATCAAGATGCATTGTACTTATAAACTGACTTGTTGAATACTCACTCCTTTGTAAACCACTTAAGGATGATAGAAATATAATTTAAAACTTGAGTGGCCTTGTTCAATCTACTTATGTTTTATTTATACATACATACACACACATGACTGTACTCATTAGAATGTTACAAGCTACACTATAATTTATTTGCAAGTAGTGATGATATTACACAATGCATAGCCTATTGAATTAAAAATAAAGAATATAGAAGTAGACATACTCCTTCATTGCTCATCATGACAGTTTCATTTTTATTTGATTGCAGTGCTGGGGATCTTACCCAGGCTCTTACACATGCTAGACACTCTTGTTCTATTACTGGTTCTCTATTACTGGTTCTATACTGTTTTTAAGTAACATGCCAAGAAGTATTATACTAAGGGTTAGCAACTACTAAGTCATATTTCTACTAATCTTTTTACTGAATTGCAAATATTTGTGGTCAACCTCTTGACCCGTCATTACACATCATTATTTTTTTCCCCTTGTAATGTGGCAAATGAAGATAGAATACTTGAAAAAAAGGAGAAGTGTTGGCTATTCCATTTTCTTCAATAATTTTTCTTCAACAAATGTTTATTTGATGTCCTGAGGGCCAGAACATGAGCTCTATGAAGGCACTAGGGTGCCTTCCTTTTGTCTATATCAGCTTCTGCAGAATGCTGACATATAGCAGATGCTTGCTTGGTACTCATGGAATAAATTAATAGATGGGCGAAGCATTTTGCAGGCTCTAGAGATGCTCTGATGAGCCTCTGCCCTTGTTTTTCTATTGCTGTGTAGCTACCATTCCTAAAATGAATTTGCTTTGCTCTGAAGTTTTCACTGATGTTATTTCTACTGGTGATCATTTTCCCCCCAGCAGGTGGTCCCACACTGGATGGGATTTACTTCAAGACAATCTGGGATCAGCCTCAGTTGTTGGTCCCCCCCCCTTGGGCATGACAGTGAAGAGGGGACTCCCTCTGTATTTCCCAGCAAGCTGTCTACTGATGTTTTCCTTTTGTTCTCCTACAGTCTTTCCTAATAATATTGTTGGGAAAGCATTATTTGTATATATGGAAAAATACATTACTTTCTAGAAAGAATTCTTTCAACTGACTATATTTCAAATACACATTCAAATCCATGATCAATGTTAAGCATGGATTTTGAAATGTGTGCTGTATACAAGCCACGCTGGCATGAAGAGGGTGCAGGGGAGTTGGTGATAAAACAGTTCAGTGATGTTGGAGTTTACCATTTCCATAGCAGGTGTAAAAACGGAGCATTTAAGAGAGTGAGCCGAAGATGGTGGCCATGCTGCAGGTGTTTTGAGGAATGCAAAAAGTTAGGTAAGTGTCAAACAAGTCAGGCAACTAGTGTTCCAGAAAGGAACATTTTTTTTATTGACTAGTGTGAGCCAGATAATATCTTTTGTAAGAGTTATCTGATAAGTGGTGGGTGTTGGTTTCTGTATGATGTGGTGCAGGACTCATTCTTAGTTTCCTCTGACTTCAACTGGGAATTAATTCCTACTGTGGCCAAGGTGAGGTTGTCTAAGGACACCTCCTCTATTGGGATATTAAGGAATGATCTCTAACAAATTTTAGAGAGGTTGAGATTTTTCTAGCCGCCAATACAAATCTTTCAAAGAAAAAAGGGAGAAATGCTCATTTGCTATGACAAAACTACTAATAGCTGGCACAGATGATGGCTAACAGGCTAGCATCTTACAGAAATAATGCAAGGGATTAACTGCAATGCATGAAGGTCTGCTAGGAACTTCTCCAAACACTGCATAGAGCGTAGAATCATAGAGCACAGCGCTAGAAGGGTTGCTTGTGAGAGGAATCATATGTATGGAGTTCTGGAAAGAACAGCCTAGGATTTGGTTTTTAACAGAGTTCTCAGAGTTGAATAGATTAGTAAGTGTTAGATATTTCACTCACACAGCAAACCAAACTAAGTGTAATATATACCATCATTTTGTAGGTGTCCCAAGGGCCAAAACACAAGCATTTTGTAGGTGTGTAACAGTGTGAAAATCAAAAGACTTGGCCCTCAAGGAACTTTCATTCCAGTGTGGAGTGATAACCAAGGAAGTCAAATTACATTAAGTACAAATTGTGAGGAGGAGGAGGAGATCATAAGGGCATGAGCCATTGCTGGCCATATATTCAATAGGATTCTTATTTAGAAGTGACAGCAGCTTGTTGATTGTTTAACAAAAAAAGACAGAGTGGAATATAATGAGGTAGTTCACAGTCTCACTAGGAAAGCCAGAGAACCAGAGTGAAAGGTGGGATTCTAGCAATAGATATCCAAATAATTCAGACCACTAACAAAAACCTCTGACCAGTGGCCTTTGTCTCTACCACCAAGGATAGGATGGCACTGTTTGCAGTTCTGTTCTCTTTGCCACAAGGACACAGCCATGCAACTCTGTTACTACATTGCTGGAAATGTGGTAGCCATTTGATGTTTGATCTCTTTGATCTCTACCACCAGCCACTTGATCTTTGATCCCTTTGATCTCTGCCACCAGCCTTCATCTCAGCCACCAAGAATAGGATGCTACTCTTTACATTGCTATCCACTCTGCCACAAAGACACAGATATGCAACTCTGCTACTACATTGCTGGCAGAAAACAAAATCAGCGAACTTGTTAGACACAGTTGTGTGTGTCCATTAACTAGCAATGGAAATTCTAAAATGGAAATGAAGAGAACAATTTCATCTGAGTCTCATTATAAATAGCACAAACATGATAAATTATTAAGGAATAAATTTAACCAAGGGAAGGAAAGATTTTTTTACATTAAAATGTATAATAATACTGAAATAATATCTAAAAAATAGAAAGATATATTGTGTTCATGGATTAGTAGACCCCGCATTGTTAATATGACACTATTATCCAAAATGATCTAACAGGGGATGAAGTACCTTTTCTTTCTGCCAAATTCGAGTATTTATAACATCATTGTAGGCCTTGCAAAATTATAAATTCAGGCAGATAGGGCCAAGGGAAGCCCATGGGAATCATGACATATTTGTTCTGCTCCATGCCAATTGATTATTGCAGACTTTATATGGTCCACAGGCTGGAAATTCCACACCTCATTCACTGCAGTCTCTATCAAAATAGGATTTCAAGGGAATCTTTAAAAGTCAAAGCAGCCTTGAAAAAGAACAAATTTGGAGAGCCCAAAAAGACTTTGTGAATTTTTAAAAATTTAATTTTATTGTCCAGGTGATGTACAGAGGGGTTACAGTTACATACATAAAGTAGTGAGTACATTTTTTGTTGAACTTGTTATTCCTTCCCTCATTTTTTCCCTCTTCTCCTCCTGAAATTTTTACTGATTTAAAATTTTAGTTCAAAGCTACAGTAATCAAAACCATGTGACAGTGACATACAAATAGTCATATAGATCTATGTAACAACATATTGCCTAGAAACAAACCCTTATACATGTGATCAACTTGGTTTCAGAATCAATCTTTCAATGGAGTAAAAGGTAGCCTTTTTGACAGGTGACCTGGAAAACCTAGATCTTTACCATATACCATATATAAATATTAACTCAAAACCCTCCATTTTATATTTGTCAATATGTTTTAAATTTACGACCAAAACACAAGCAACGAAAGAAAAAAATAGATAAATTGGACTTCATAAATTAAAACATTGTACATCAAATGGAAATATCATAGTAAAACATAGCTCACAGAAGGGAGAAAATATTTTTAATTATTTATTCAAGGAGTTAATATGCAGAATATAAAAGAGCTACAACTTCTCATTGATTACCAAAGACAACCTGATGAAAAACCAGACAAAGGACTTGAACAGGTAAATCAGTGAAGATGTATAAATATAAATCAAAACCAAAATGAGACACCATTTCATACTCATTACAATGGTTGTTATAAAAATTGGAGAATAGCTAGATGCCAGTAGTGGTTCACATCTATAATCTTAGCTACTCAAGAGGCTGAGATCTGAGGAACACAGTTCAAAGTCATCCTGAGCAGGAAAATTTATGAGACTCTTATCTCCAAAAATCTGATAGTGGATCTGTGGCTCAAGTGGCAGATTGCCATCCTTAAGCAAAAAGTTAGAGGAAAGTTCCCAGGCCCTGACTTCAAGTCCTAATACAGACATACATACAGACAGACACACACACGTTCACACACACACACACACACACACACACATGCACGCACGCACATGCACAATGCATCATGCACATTCACAACATAATAAGTATTGGCGGGATCTGCAGCAACTGGAACTCCCATGCCCTGGCATGACAACCAACTTTGTGCTTTTTCCAAGAGTGGAACAGGGAATTTTCTGGAGACTTGACTTTTAGAAGGGAAAGATCTATGTCTCTCTCAGAAGGTAGAACCTGAGAAGACTCAACTCTGCTCTACCAAATCTCCTCTACCACCAAACAAGGCCTGCAGCCTTGTTTCTCTACCTTTCCCCATCTGCAGTTCCAACCAGCTACTCTTCAGCACAGCTGGAGATGGGAGCAAATGCCCAGTCCTTTCTGGACTCAGCTCCCTTCCCCACTAGGCCCTGTCAGGAGGCCCCTTATCCTGCTTTAGCAAGAGGGATGTAGGGCAGAGGAGATAATCCTCTTGGCACTGGCCAAGTTTCCAGACTGAGCTATTCAGCAAAACTGCCAACCATCTCCCCCTGATTAGGGGTTCTATTCACCCCTAGAAGCTGAAGAAGCCAGAGTTGGCAAACCCACCTCTACCTGAGCCTGCCTAGGTGGGACCTTCCCCTCCCCCACCTCTTTCCAGAATCCTCTTGGCACCTAGCCAAGACCACCCACCAGTGGCTTCCTTGATTCTTTTCCATTGTGACTGAGAGGAGGAGGAAGTAGAGGGGTGGGATGTAGTTGCTACAGCTTTGACCAGGGCTAGAAAACCACAAGCATGTTTTAAATAATCTATGAAGTCCTATATACCATAGATAATATAGTAATAATCACTCATCGTAACTCCTGTTTGGGGCCCCAAGAGATACTCCTCCGTATGAGACAAGAACAGTAGAGTCAAAAGGACTCTATTTGGCATGACCATTTATTCAGAAATATTGTAAAAATAAACACCACTTCAGGCACCTAAAAACTGAGAGAAAAATGAAAACGTATTTGTATCCATCATTCTCTTAAAGGTGACAGTTTTACAAGTGAGAATGTAGCAGCATTGCAGTTGTAAGGGTAGGAGAGAGACAGGAGAAAGAGAGAGGGTAGGTGAGGGAAAAAGGAGAGAGAGAAGGAAGGAGGAGGGAGGGAGGCAAGGGAGAAAGGAGAGAGGAAGACAGAGAGGTAGTTTTAGCATTATTGAGTTGAAACTGAATTGCTTGGTTGAGATTATGTGGATAGCCACTGAGACCAGAAGCCTGAGTTCAAGTCCTGATCTGGCCACTGTCTGGCCCCCTCCTGTGTCTTTGGAAGATTACTGTTTTCATTTTGCAATTTTCTCATCTGTAAAATGGGTATTCATAGCATCTAATTCAGAAGGTGGCTGTGGTCACCAAGTGTAGTACTGTGTAGCTGCTAGTGTAGCTGGCACTGTTCTTCTTTTGGCCAATAGACTTTTTTTTTTCAATTTTTAATCTAGTGATAGTCAGGTTTGTCTTCTCTTGGCTTGGGAAGAAAATGAGTTATTTCCTCTGAATTAGTTCTCTCTAAATCCATCAGCAACTGTTTATAGGCTTTAAACAAAATGTGTGAGTAGATTCCTAGGCAAGTTTATCCTTGATTGTAAGTTTTCATTTTTTTAAAAAATATTTCAAACATGAAAATAAAAACAAGTAAGCTACACTTGGTCAAATTTCAAAGTAGCATTAAAAAAAAGGTTTGAATCTGATTAGGCAAGTGAAATGTGGAACTGTGATCAACAAAGATTGCTCATGCTCATAAAAGTCAGGTAAGAATTCTCGGACGAAGGAGATGACATCATGGTAATTTATTATAATCATTCACATACTTTATTGAGTATTATGTGGATGTGTGTATGAATCATGTTTTACCTGAGTAGCTTTTATATGCTACTAATGGGTTACTTATAACACAAGAATGAGTATATGTGAAGGAAGAATCTATTTGGGTTCATTACTCATCCTAAGTATAATTATTGTTTAACAATATTATGAAGGGTTGGTGATGAGATGCAGGTGTTTAAACATGCAGTGCCAATAGATTTGACACGGTATTCAGTCCCAGGCATATACATTTTTAAAGGCTCTATTCAGCAGGGGGGACAATGAAGCCTCACACAATAGTAAGCATGTTTGCTAAAAACATGAAGTGACTGGTTAATTTTTAGGGCTTAGATTTTCAAATGGGCTATTTTCCTCCAGCACTGTTTTCTTCCCTTACCAGACTGTACATGATATATTTTAGAAGGAGAAGAGAAACAGCTATATTGGTTATGTCTTCCCTACATGGGGGTTTCAAACCATCCCTGAGCTTTTGAAGAAGCAATATGCAATTCCTTTTCAAATGGAAGCAAGTCAAATATATACAATGGAGGCCTGAGGCTTTGAGAGGTATTTATTTTTTCAACCCGGGATGATCAGTACTACAGGAAGGTGCAACCCTCCATCTCCAGGCTCTCAGAGGAGAAAACTGAGGCCACAGAAGTTCAGAGAGAGGAAAGGAAACAGAAGGGAAGAAAAAGGAAAGAAAGAGTGAGAAGAAGTAGAAAAAAGCAGAGAGGAGAAAAGTGGAGAGGACAGGGAAGAGGAGAAAGAGGGAAGGGGAGGGGAGGCAAGGGGAGAAGAGGAGAGAGAAGCAGCAGGCTTTTGGGAGAAAGGTGCAAAGGTTGAGGAACATTGCTCCTGAAGCATTGCTATATGGTATACAAGGCAGCAGCCTCTTATTTTTGGATGATTTTCTTAAAGTTTCGATTACATCATGAATTTTTTTGAGGGATGGGGCAGTGGAGAGGGAAATAAGGCTTAATTCCTCTTGCACGTGGCACCCACATGGATGTGGACCATGCAGAAACAACTTCCAGGGGGCCACACTGTGATCTCATTTTTGTACAAGAGAGTGCATTACAGCAGCACATACACAGCAAACCTTCTGCAAAGTGTTCAAGGTGCTGTCCATCTAGCTCTTGAGAGTGGGGACATCTGCATAATCTTCTATATTATTTTAAGATTTTTTTAAGGGTGAGCATGATAACTTTTAAAGGATTAAATAAACATTTCAGTGATAGTTTGTGTTGTTTAAGTAGGATGCTGATATGTCTCTTAATTAGAAGAGCTATGCCCAAGGAAGGGGTGGTTACATTCTTGCTTCAAACATGTATAAATCACATTCTTTTGGGAGTAATCGGCTTCCAGTGCCCAGTTTAAGTTGAAATAATAGCACTGAGCGTCTTGGAAGAGAAACGGACCAACGGGAAGGTTTAGCACACAGTCTCACAACACCTCTAAGGGAAGGACTTCCCCATTCTCCCATTGCAGGGGGGGTATCAGGGCTGATCACATCTGCACAGGGCCTAGTTTGCGAGCAGCTTCCCCAGCAGGCAGTACCATAGGTGAGGAGACTGACAACTGCCTGGTGCCCAGGGCTGGGAAGTCAATGGAGGGTCTGCGTTTTTGCTTTCCGCTGGATGCTGCCTCTGATGGGGGAATTTCCTTCCCATAGGCAAGAAATTGGTTACATGCCAAATAGAACAAGCAATCAAACCACTACCACCACCACCACCACCAAACAGCCAACTCAAACCAAATCACTATCTACACGTATGCTGTCAGAATGACTTTTTTTTTTTTTGCCAGATTTCAAATGAAAGTGAGAGAGAGAGAAAGAAAGGGAGAGAGCTGGAGGCTAGAGATTGAAATATCAAGTAGGCTGTGTTAAAAGTAGGCTTTCTATCCTGACCTCCAGAATGGAAGTCGTCCATGGAGAACCAGAGCAATAACTGGAAATCTTGGAACTCCTCTGGGAGGGTGTTGGAGGTAAATTTTTTTCCTGGTAAATTTACCTTGGGACTAAAGGCAAACTGGAGTGGTTTGCCTGTAGATTCTGAAGACAAAGGAGGAGAGAGTTCTGAGGCAGAGATGCTTTCTTCTTCCTCTCAAACACCTCAGTCAGGTGTGTCACTGTACTTTGTGTGTTTGATGAGAAGGCAGGGGTGATATGTGGGCAGAATTGTGGTCCAGGATAAAAGTGGAGAGCGTTTTTTTATTGTCCTAAAGAAAGTAAGCAAACTTTCAGGGGTTAAACTAGGATTCCTGAAATGGAAATTGGTACTTTAGAATGAAAATCTATGATTTCAGACCCATGAAATGATCAGTTCAGAATTTTGACCAGTCTCTACACATAGCCCTGACTCTTCTCCCAAGATCACTGACATTGGGAGAAGCCCTGAAGTCTACAACAAGGGAATCATATCTATAGAGAGAACAAACTCATCAACTTAGCTTTTGTTCAAAATATCCAGGACTTCCAGAATTTAAGACAAACCAATTACATAAAAAGAGAAGGATAAAGAAGAACCAAGAGAGAAAATAGCAGTTGGAGAGCATTGACATCATTCAGAAACCAGAAAACATTTCCACTCTAAAAACATATCTAATTAGTATCTGGGAAAGAAGTGGATTTTGAGAAAAAAAATCCATAATCTAAGAACATCTGTGTCCTTTAAAAAGCAAGCAGTCAACAAATAGAAAAGAGTTCATGGATTATTGCAGCATTATTTACCATAGCTAAGATATGGAACCAACCCAGATGCCCCTCAGTAGATGAATGGATCAAGAAAATGTGGTATATATACACAATGGAATTCTATGCCTCCATCAGAAAGAATGACATTGCC